GACCCCCATGAGTGGTGGTAGTGGCCATCGCATCCGGGAGGGCAGCGGTACTCACCAAGTTCGTAGAGAACGAGGGGAGGTGAAGACCTAAGAGTGAGGCGGACGGAACCGCCGGACACGGGAGAACAGTGGAGGAACGTGCAAGAACTAGGCCCCCTGAGGGGTCAGCCAGATGGACTGGAATAGGTGCAGGGAGTGGAGTGAGTGTGGTACTGTCGCGAAAGAAACAGCGAGAAGCATCTGAGTCAAGCGTGAAGGTGTGCAAGGCCTCAACAGGCGCAGTACTAGGGAGATCAGACTCACTAACACCTAGAGCAGCAGCCTCTATACCTGGGTCGGGCGGCACACACAGGTAACAGTCACCCTCAGCACTAACAGTCAAGGCATACATGGCAGCAAGGATAGTATCATAGTCAAGAGCAAAGATATCAACACCAGACCTAAGCAGCTCTAGCCAGCGTGGGCTCTCAGCCTCGTCGCCAAACTCTGCGCGCCAAGCGTCGTCAAGGTGGGAAAAATAGTGGTGTTGTGTGTGAAACTTTTGTGCGAATGACATACGGGCAGCGAACACTACCCCAAGACGCCCCACGCTGAGCAAACCACTCACGAAGCTGCTGGGGCATAGGGGTCTCGCTCCGACGCTGCTGCTACTGCCTCTGGCCATCGCCGAAACCTCACCTCTGAACAGCTCCACCCCGACCGCCACCACTGCCGATGCCACCACTCCCACTGCCGCCACCACCGCCACCACCACTCCCACCGCTGCCACCACCGCCGCCACCGAAGCTCCCACTCCCGCCACCACTCCCACCGCCACCTCCGCCACCTCCACCGCCTCCACCGCCTCCACCACCACCACCCCCGCTGCCACTGCCACCACTCTTGCCACCCTTGCCCTTGCTGCTGCGGCGCTTCTCACTAAGAGCAGAAGTACCGAGGATGTCAATAACAGCAGCAGAAGCGTAGGAGGGGGCAAGGGGGGAGGGGGAACACCCTTCAAAGAAGGGTGTGCGAGGATTGCCACGAGCAGCACCTACAGCGACTACGCTTACGCTAGTTTCAGCTGCAATGAGGTGCCTCTCGAGCAGGTCGACAGTGAGGTCTGTGGGTTCAAGTGCAAGAAAGTGGTCCATGACTGTGCGAAGAGAGTCGGGGAGGCGGGTGACTATGAAGTAGAGAGTGATGTACATCGGGGGTGGGTTCTTGTCTAGGAACTCGGCTGGGAGGGCAGTGCTGTAGCGAGTGTCGCTAGTGCAAAGGTGGGTGATGAGGTCTTTGACTGTGGCAAAGGCTGACAGCTCGGGAAAAAGGTAGGGCAGTCTAAGGCGGCCAAGACCAGCAGTGGCAGGGGAAGAGTAACGAGCGACTACAGCGTCGTACAGAGCTTTGCAGTCTTGTGCTGGCCAAAGTGAGCGCGTTCGGCTAACGGCAAGTGGTTGCGAACGGCTAAGCGAGCAGCAGCGTCACGGGTAAGCCACTGTGAGCGAGTTGCACTGTCAGCTGTGGCGGAAGGGGCGAGAGAGGCTCCAGACGTGTGGTCAAACAACAAAACGCTGTCTCTAGAATCGCTCATTAGGTACAACTGTAAGTCGACGAGCCACGTATCGAAGTGGATCGGACGGCCCTCATGATCGAAGGTGAGAACACTGAGAGAAGCCATAGCGGGCAGAGCAGGGTGGCGTGCGACCAGTAGGGCAGCACGCAGGCAGGGCAGTGCGCGAGCACTAGGGAAGCGCGCAGGGCAGGGCGGGGCGGCTCACGGCTAGGGAAGAGCGGCGCGTGGCCAGGGCAGGGCAGCACAAATGGCAGGGCAGGGCGGCGCGCGGGAAGGGCAGGGCGGTGCGGTGGCCAGCAGGGCGGCGCGCGGGCAGGGCAGGGCGACGCGCAGACAGGGCAGGGCGGCGCGGCTGCCAGCAGTGCGATGCGCGGGCAGGGCAGGGTGAGGCGCAGGCAGAGTAGGGCGGCGCGGCGACAAGCCGGGTGGCGTGCGGGCAGGGTAGGGCGACGCGGCGGCCAGCAGGGCGACGTGACAGGCAGGGGAGGGCGGCGCGCTACCAGCAGGGTGGCCCGACGGGCAGGGCAGGGCAGCGCACGGCCAGCGGGGCGGAGCGACAGGCAGGGCAGGGTGGTGCGCGACTAGAAGGGCGGCGCGAAGGGCAGGGCAGGGCAGCGCTCCGCCTGCAGGGCGGCGTGACGGGCAGGGCAGGGCAGCGTGCGGCCAGCAGGGCGGCGCGACGGGCAGGGCAGGGCAGCGCGACTAGTGGGGCAGCGCTACGAGCAGGGAACTATGCGGTGGGCCCTAAAAAAAAACGGTCTTGGAATAGGACCTGCTCTTATACCATGTCAAGAAACTGCAGAAGAATGAATGCATTGAGCAGAAAAGTTGGTATAAGTACTGACCCTAGTTGGGTTGTACCCCTTATGGGCTATCCCACTACAACCTACACAATATACGTATTATAACATTTTGACAGTGTTGACCGTGTTTGCCGAACCCTGCTCTCCATATCTTTCTCCAACATGTACCGGCGTGATGTTCTGATCCAGCATGATGTCGTCAGGGAGCGTGACATCCGCGATCGCCTTTGTCGAGCGTCCTTTCGAAGGCATGGTGCGATGATGACACAAAGAAAGCAGCTGATGGGTTGTTGAGCTGAACCAGTGATTCTGATAAGCTTGTGAAGCTACTGCTGCTTGTGAACTGAGAACCACCTCCTTATAACCTTTCCTTTGCGCCAGAGACTTGCTTTCTTGATCAAAGTGATGCGTTCCTGGGGTTGACGCCTTGGGATCATGGCGAAGTTGTTGATCATTTTGGGAGTGGAACCAGTGCCAAACTGTATAGATCCAGCGGTGTTGTATACAACTGTTAAGATCAGGCCTGGAAACGGAGTTATCAAGAAGCCTTGGGACTTGGTTAGCAAGATATGTGTATGGAACAGTGAGTCGAACCCGAGTAGCCGAAGATAAAATGTCTGCGTAGTAGACATAAAAATTATATCCTCTGCTTCTTAACGAACCCAGGACATCAGATCTGTGCTCAAAGTTACCAAATTATAAGTAACCTTCACGTAACAGGCTCTCGAAACTACGCGGAGGAATACATGGCGGCCTTGTCATTGTCATCCAAGTCCAGCATTTGCCACTTGCTGCAAGATAATGAATTTCTGAAGTGTCTACCAGCAAGGCACTACAGTGCTTATGTAGACAATTATGTGTGCCTGTCCAGCACTGCACCAGGCTTCGATTTCGCCTTGCTGGCCATTTGGCTGTGTGTCCCTCCCAATCTGCTGCCCTTGGTGTGGTTGCACCTAACCTGGTTGGCATCTCCCCCTTCTCCTCCTCCCATACATCCATCACACCAACCAAGCGTTTTTTTGTTCCTCGCCGTAAGGCCCAGCCCCCAATCAAATCGCTACAATTCACTCTGGGCAGACAGCATATTTCCGCTGCAGTCAAATCCGCATGCCTGGCCGTTCCATTGGACGTTCCTCCTGCTCAACTCACCTTCCAAGTTCCCTCAAGCGAGCAGCTCATCTGGGATGGGGGAACTTGGGGGAACTTGCTGCTGTTCGACTTGGGGGAACTTGCTGCTGTTCGACTTGGGGGAACTTGCTGCTGTTCGACTTGGGGGAACTTGCTGCTGTTCGACTTGGGGGAACTTGCTGTGAATGCCATCTCAACCATTTCTCAGGTCAGGGCAGACGGGGTCGCTGAGACCTCACCCTGCTGCCGCCATTCCTCTGTTCCGTCAACGTCTCCGTCGCCCGTCTGGCAGCCTGCTGCCATCCTGGAGATCCATCTGTTGTGGTAGTGTTCGACAATACCAAGGAACCATTCGCCCTGCATGAGGAAACAGAATCAGACAGACAGTGAGACAGCCCAACGGCGTTTGCCATGGACTGCCAAGCTCCGCCTTTCACAAACAATTCACAGCCCTGCCATTCAACCACCATTTTTATTGTCTGGCAATACGCGTAGCTGAGTTCGTGGTGAAATTCGTTGTATCGCTTCTAGATTCCGCGTGAGACGTTGTGAACCTCAATGCTATTTGCATGGCTGAAAAGCAGAGTGTCGCGAAGACTCTTTGCCATTGCCATTAGCTATCCAGATGGCAGTATTTTTTCTCTAATCTTTCAGTTATGTCTAAGTTGTGTAGAGATGCACGTCGCATAGCGGAGCTATATCGTTCTGGTAAGGTTATGCAATCAGCGGCAAGTTACTAGTCTGAATCGCGATACCGAAGGAGGAGAATTTACCCGTCGCGACGCGCATTCAGTTATCATGGCTTATCACCACAGCTTAATCTTTGGCCTTGGCGGGATTCCGTTGATGAAATCGTCAACGGTCACGAATGCCGTCAACGACAAAGAAAACAAACCAGGCGGGTTACCAGAACCAGTTCTCGAGCTCGCGAAAAGAGTGTACTATAACACCATACCCGCGTCGCTTAGCTTTACAGGCGGCGGAACCATCGGCCGGAGCGGCACCGGAACGATCGGCAGACGGAAGAAGACGAAGAAGGACCAGCTCGGGTTTCCGCCGACGAAACCTAATCGATGCGTCGAAGAAGCCAAGTTCCTGTCGATTGAGACTGCTGCCGTCATGCGCAAGCTGCTATGGCTGTGGTCCACGATCAGCCCTGAGCAGATCGAACGGCTGCGAACGAGTCTCCAGGTATGCGAAGTCAGGACGCGTAGCCACGTGTCAGGCTCCAGAGGTTGTTGTCAGAACGGCTAATGGATCCAACCGTAGCAGTTTTCTTGCTTCACTGAAGGAACCCATTCATGTTCTAACATTTGGATTTTCATGCATTTTCGCGCATTAACACGTGCGTCAAGAGCGTTCGTCTTTTGAGAGACCTTTGGTCGTCAGCTGCTGCTGTCGGGGATTATGCACTTGTGGACTGGTGAATGCGCATTCGTGGTTAATGGTAATTGTTCCCGCTGAATGGTTGTGGGAATAATGTTCTGAACGGGCCAATGTGTTCGCGTGACTCAATGGATGATACTTACCCGTCCATTAACGCACCCATGGTCCCTTTTATCCACTGCAAACGCACACCTCCATGCACCCATCCATGCACCTGAAATCAATAATGTATGCATGTATCATTCTTTTCATCAGCACACCCTAAACGCAATAATGCACTTAATCGCATCGTCACATCCTCCCCTACGCCTTGGATTGCCGTATCCCCATCCCTTCCCCTCACCTCCACCCCCACCAACCACCCCATTCCGCACCCACTCCGCTCCCTCTCCCCGCTCACCGCTCTCTCCCCCCTCTCCCTTTTCTTCCCCCCCTTTCCCCCCCTCCACCCCACCTCTCTCCCCCTCGCTTCCAGCATGCCCATGCTTGCCTCACACACCCAACAAGGTTGTGCTCACGTACGTTCGAGGTGATTTTTGAGTAAAATTAATTTTCCCCCCTCTCCCCCCTCTCCCCTCCTCTCCCGCTCCCCCCTCGCACGCCCGTCACACACCCACCCCAGGAGGACAAAGCTGTGCTCACATACGTCTGCCCTGACCCCGCGCATCTGTGGACTCTAGCAGGTCTGGTTCAGTTCAGGGCATATCCAGGCGTGCCTCTCCCATCATAGTTACACGTACTGTCCTGACCCCAGCGTGATTATTGTTCCTTCACCACGTAGTGTTCTCAGCATAATACCTTCAGACAGTGTCAAGTCTTGCATCATAACTTCCTTTCCGCTGAATCTTACTTTTCCCTCCTCCTTCCCCCACCCCCAAATGCCACCACTCCCCCCTCAAATCCCCCAGCCGTTCCCTTTAATGCCATCCCCGTTCCCCCCAAATGCCATCCCCGTTTCTTCTTCCTCCCAAATGCCATCCCCAATCCCCCTATATGCTACCATCGTCCACCCTGAGATGATGCTACCGCCCCCCCCCCTCCCCCCCCCCCACAATGGAACGCTCCTTTATCCTCCCAACAGGTCTAAAGCTGATGGAGCTCTTAGAGAAGATGGGCGAGCGGGTGTCGGTCGGGCAGAGGGTTTTCGGGTTTAACACCGTACTCAGGATGGGTGAGCGCGTGGCGGCCATGGGGCTCAAGTGCGGCGAGAGTCAGGTGCAGAGATTCCCCCGTCATTCCTCATTGCCTCAACACCCTCAACAGGCTTAGAACTGATGGAGGTTCTGGAGAGGATGGGCGAGCGGGTGGCGGCCATGGGGCTCAAGTGCGGCGAGAGGCGGCTGCACCAGCTGGCGAACGTGTTTGGGGAGATGCGGCACCCCGAAACCGTCTTCTCCCACTTCAGACTCGACGCCCACGGGCAGGAAACGCTCTTCTGGTAAGCGAGTCTCTCGGTGCTGAGGTGAGTCACTTGGTGCTGAGGATTCGCTCAATGCTGAGGTGATTCACTCAACGCTCACGAGCAGGAGACGCTCTTCCGGTGACTCGCCCGTCTGGTGAGTGAGTGAGTGAGTCATGTACAACAACATCGGGAGGTGCGCAGGTACCCGTACCTGCTCGCAGGTGCATGGTACATCGTGGTGTTTGACTTGCATGGGTCATCTGTGTGGCCATGTGTGAAGCGCAGCGCCTCTTCCACCCCCCCCCTTCCCCCCCCTTTCTCCCTGCCCTTCCCCATGCTTCCAGCTCCATGAAGGAGGTGGAGTAGCTGGGGGATGTGCGCAACTGCATGGCGTCTGATTGGTAGTGCTCTGTCTGTCCATATTTGTAACGCTTCCCTTCCTTCCTCCCCCACCTCTCCCCCCTCTTCTCCGTTCCGCATCCATTCAGCTTCATGCAGGAGGAGGTGGAGAAGCTGGGGGATGTGCGCAACTGCATGGAACGACTCAACACCCTGCGCTCGCTGCTCAGGTGAGATGCTCAGGCTGCACAACAGTATAGGTGGGCGCAATGCCAAGTATTTGCGATGCAAGTGAACACCACTGACTGACATGCCAATGCCTGCCTGCTGAGTCACTGCAAAGGAGGAGGAGCGCTCGCTGCTCAGTTCCATGAGTGACTCAAGACTGTGCGCTCGCTGCTCAGTTCCATGAGTCACTCAACACTCTGCGCTCGCTGCTCAGTTCCATGAGTGACTCAACACTCTGCGCTCGCTGCTCAGTTCCATGAGTCACTCAACACTCTGCGCTCGCTGCTCAGTTCCATGAGTCACTCAACACTCTGCGCTCGCTGCTCAGTTCCATGAGTCACTCAAGACTGTGCGCTCGCTGCTCAGTTCCATGAGTCACTCAACACTCTGCGCTCGCTGCTCAGTTCCATGAGTGACTCAACACTCTGCGCTCGCTGCTCAGTTCCATGAGTCACTCAACACTCTGCGCTCGCTGCTCAGTTCCATGAGTCACTCAACACTCGGCGCTCGCTGCTCTGTCCCATGGCTGCGAATGTGGCACTGCAAAAATGTTTGGGTTTATGATGCCTAATGCTGGAACATTGGGCAAAGCGCGTTATATCCCTCCTCGCAATTATAGACCGTCATCATGCCTTATGCTTGCCATGCCATGCCCTTACCATGCCTCTCACTCTTATCATGCAAGTGACGTCCTTCTCTTCTCTTCCCACGGAAAGAAGAAGCCTTCGCCTGCCACAAGCCTTCTGTCTGAGCTGCAAGCCTCCGCAGCACACTTACCACCCACCCTTGCCATGCCTCTCACTCCTGTCAAGCTCTCCATGCCCTTGCCTTCCCTTCAGAAAGAAGAAGCATGCACCCGCCACAAGCCTTCTCTCTGAGATACAAGCCGCCTCAGCGTACCAAGCACCTACCCTTGCCATGCCTCACTCTCCTTGTGCTTCACCCTTGCCCTTCTCTCTTCTCTCCCTTTCAGAAAGAAGAAGCCTGCGCCCGCCACAAGCCTTCTCTCTGAGCTGCAAGCCGCCTCAGCGTACGTCTCTGTGCCTCCCTTTGCTTTCCGTTCATTGGGTGTGTTCCCTCCTCTGTGGGTTACTAGGTGCGTTTTGATGTGCGTCTCTCTGTGCACTCCCACTGTCCCTCACTCCTCTACTGCTCTCTCCTCCCTCCCTCCTCCGTCCTGTCGCTGTTCTCTCACACGCTCCTCCCTCCTGCACTGCTTCTCTCCTCCTTCCCCGTTTCTTCCCCACACACCCACCTCACTTCCCATTCCTGTCTGCAACAGTGATGCGCTGGCGGATGGAGAGGGCAAGGAGGAGGCAGAGAAGGAGGGCGACTCGTCCTCATGGATGCCTCGCTGCGACCTGCCAGGGGCTGAGGAGATTCTCAAACTGGTGGGTCACTGGGTTGGCGCAGTAACCGGGTTGGTGCAGGCGGTTCCCAGGTCCATGCGGTTACCATGTTACAGGATTACCCTTACAGCATCATAATTCATGAGCCCATTGTAGTCCATAACACGCTGTGCTGGCATTGATCCATGTGCTGAATGCCTGTGGTTGGTCCTCACTTACCTCCACACCCTTTTCCACCTGTTACTACCCCTTTCCAACCCTCTCCACCCATTTTACCCCTCTTTTCCCCCCCTTGCTTAACGTGCAGACGGCGACCATATCAGAGCTGCAGAGCCGGTGCCTGTGGTCTGTAGAGCTGGACCATGTCGTGCGGGTGAGTGCAATCCGTGTGTTTGATCGTTCATGAATAGAGCTTCAAAACACATTGCAATTGGAGAAAAAGGGACCGTGCGCTGTGCGTGCGGTGAGGGTGATTGAGAGCAGTCTGCGCTGCAGGGATTCATCAGAGCTGCAGAGCTTGTGCCTGTGGTCGGTGGAGCTGGACCAAGTTGTGCGGGTGAGTGCAGTCTGTGTGGGCATTCATGGGTAGATCAGCAAAGCACATCTCATGGGACGAGAATGGGACCATGCGGTGAGGGTGAGTGAGTGCCAGTCATCCGTACTGAATTGAGCTTGGAATTTCTGCATCCCGCCATACCATCCCACCCCGCCCATCCCCACCAGCTGCTGGTGCTGGCGATCATCCTGCTGAGGGACAGAATCATCTCAGTCTTTGCCATCAACGCCCGCTCCTCCGATGCCTTGACTCGCGAGGGCTCCCTGGGTCGTGCTGGGCTGGCGCTGCGCTACGCCAAGGTCATCAACCTGGCGGAGAAGCTCATGAAGTACCCCTTCATGGCTGCTGGGAGTACAAGGTGAAAACAAATAGGCTTTGTAGAGTGCATACAGCCTGAGTGATTGTAGCTAGCAAGCACAGTGGCAGTGGGCTAGTGCTGCGCTATGCCAAGGTCATCAACGTGTGGATGTACCCCAAGTTATTACATGACCCGGCATCCCCACTTAACCTGACACTTCCTCAAGGTGCCACTATCAGGCCACAAGCCCCCCAATAGTCTGTGTGGCAGCCTGCACACAGATTTGACGTAATAAATGTTGCTTATGAATGGGGGGAGAATTCGTGGTTAGATGATGGCGTTTCGAGAAGGCAACAGGTTAAAGGCTGATGCCAGATCGTGTAGCAACTTGGGATACTCCAAAGAATCCCTTTTCCCACTCAACCCCTTCCACGTCTTCTCCTCCCACTCCTAAAGACAAGCTGCCCTATGGCCTCAAACATAACAGCTGCTCTGCTTTTCCCTTCCCCCCCACTACCCCCTTTGTCCCTATTCCCCTGTGTCCAGAGACGAGCTGTACGGCCTCCTGACCTACACGACCAAGAAAGACGTTGCAATGCGTCTGCTGATGCTTTAGCTTCTCTCCCTCGCCCCACCCCCTCCCCTCTCCCCCCAATTGCCGTGTCTCCCTCCACCAGGGACGAGCTGTACGGCCTGCTGACCTCGCCCTGCGGCTATCCCAGCTTTAGCTTCGCTCCTTGTTTCCCCTCCTGCACCTCTTACTCTTGTCTCTCCCCGTCCAGAGATGAGCTGTATGGCCTCCTGACCTACAGCACCAAGAAGGACCTCGCCCTGCGGCTATCCCGGCCTGTGACCTCCTCCAAGAGCAAAGAGACCAAGGCAGAAGAAACAACCAGCCCGCAAACCAGCAAGGGCGCTGGCAAGAACGCTGAGAAGGGAAAGGACGGGGAGGAGGATGAGGAGGATGACGATGATGATGGGTTTACTTGGTTGAAAAAACCTAGTCCGTTGAATGACCCACGCTGTTTGGGTGGGAAGGGAGGAGGGGGGAACGGCGGGGAGGAGGAGGACGACGAGGATATGGAGGAGTGGGAGAGGCGAATGAGAAAGGCGTTGAGTCTGCTGCCTCTGCTGGCGCAGCACACGATTGCATGGAACGATGCCATCACTGTGAAGCCATCTTCAAACCGCAAGGCCACACGCCTGCTGAGAGTTCAGGTGAGGAGATATTCCCTGATAGTGTCCTTCCTTTCGCACTGCTTTGTTTCCGCTTTCTCACTCTCACTCACACACACTCATCCCCCCATCGCACCCTCTTTCGCTCCCTCGCTCTCTTGACCTCTATCTTGGTCTCTTGGACGCCCTGAAGTATATACCGTAGCACTCCCCTCCAACCCCAACCCCCCCCTCCCCCGCCCGCCTCCCCATGCCCCCCGGACGCTTTACCACACGCAGAAGGCAGGTGGTGATGAACTCTTCCTCAACGCCCTGGTATGGAAGGGTGCACCTGTACAGTCTCCACCCACCCATCCACCCCACCCTACCGTCCCCACCCCCCTCCCATGCCCCCCAGATGCTGTACCACGCGCAGAAGGCGGTGATCGATGCCTCTCTCCTGGACGCCCTGGAGGGAGTGTCCCACCTCGTCGCCTCTGATGCGTCCAACCTCACGCAGCTCAACTCCCCTCCTCCACCCTCTCCTCCCTCCTCCCTCTCTTTCCACCCCCCAGACCCTGTACCATGCGCAGAAGGCAGTGATCGATGCCTCTCTCCTGGATGCACTGGAGGGAGTCTCCCGTCTCGTCGCCTCCGATGCCTCCAACCTCACGCAGCTCAACTCCCGCAAGATGGAAGCCATGGCTGCCGAGGCCCGGAAAAAGCTCGACAAGACCTCCGCGGATTCCAAAAAGCCCCGCGTGGTCATGATTTCGGGGATCTTCAAGCCCAAGCGCGCCGCTGCAGGGATCGTTCACGGCGCGCCGCTGCCCATGGTGTTTGAGCCGGCGACAGAGGTGGGGAAGGTGACGGAGAAAGGGAAAGCCCCGGAGCTGTCGCCGAGGGGTGCTGTGCCGCTGTCACCCACTGGGGCGTCTGCTGCTGAGCCTGCTGCGAGCTTTCTGGTGAAATCTGGGTCGGTTTCAGCTCCCAGGTCGGTTTCTCCTGCTCCTGCTCCTGCTGGTGCTGCTGCTGCTGCTGCTGCTGCTGGTGCGGCCTCTGCTCGGACAAGGTTTCCCACATCGGCATCTGTCTCTGTTGCTGGTTCTTCTGCTTCTCCCTACAGGTCATCTGACTTGTCCCAGAAATCCCTCCGCCCTCTCCCTGCACTACCAGCAGCAGCTGATGCATCCACCCCAGGCCAAACCGCAGCTCTGCCCTCTCCCTCTCTCCTCGCTCAGTCTCTGCTCTCCACCTCCTCTCTACCATCTTCTCAGTTATCTTCACTCGAAGCCGTTCCTCCTCTGCCTCCTCCCCCTTCCGCGACACTCCCCACCACACCACCTGACAGCCTCGGCTCCCCTAAAAGCCCTCTGAAACCCCGACCTCCCTCACAGCCCCCCGTGCGCCCCCCTTTCCGTGGCTCGGCCGCTAATAGCGTGGACTTATCTGTGGGAGGTGACAACCCGAGGTCCCCCAGGGGGTTTGTTCGGGCTGTGGCTGAGGCGTCAGGGGATTCTGCTGGGGCTGGGAATCTGGATGGGCCGCCGCGGTCCCCACGTGCGTATGTGCACTTTGCTGATCCACCTGCTGGTTTGGGTGGTGAATGCAGTGGAAGTAGCAGCAGTGGGAGTGGGGATAGGGCCGAAGCAGCAGCAGTAGGTGGATTTAGGGAAGGTGCAACCAGGGACGGTTCATCTAGCCCAGCATCCCCCCACGGCCTTTCTAGACTCAGCCCTAGCACCCCCCCCAACAGCAACACCACAGACAACAGCCATGCCAACCGCCCTGTGAGCCCTCTCGGCCAATCACATCGCTCCACACCCTCCATTACAATCATACCACCGTCTCACAGCCGAGTGTCATCCACGTTCCGCGCGCCCGTCCCCCCCGCCCTCCTGTCGCCCACGTGTGTAATCTACGATGCCACTCCCAAGTCCCCGGCGCCTGTGGCGAGCTTGCAGCGGCTCAACGCGAGAAAGGAGACGCGCGACGAGCCGTTTGTCACCACTGAGGGGCTGCTAGCACAGGCACAGGCAGAGGCAGAGGCAGAGGCCCTGAAAGCACAGGCCTTGAAAGCACAAGCCATGCAAGCACAGGCAGAGGTTGTGAAAGCACATGCCTTGAAAGTTCAGGCCCTGAAAGCACAAGCACAGGCTGTGAAAGCACAGGAAGAGGCAGATGTGCAGGCAAAGGCTGTTCCACAGCTGCAGGCTCAGGTGTCGTTCTCTTTGGATGGGTCTATTTGCCGAGAAAGCCAATCTGCTTCGTCTGAATCTCCCAAGACCCGTCCCTCCACGGCTCCTGCTTCTGGTGCTGCTGCTGCTGCGTCTGCGGTTGCTTCTGCTGCCTCTTCTACGCACCTCCCTCTCTCCGCCTCGCCCTCCGCCCCAGTTCCTGTTTCCCAACACACCTCCTCGTCAAGCCCTCGCCCCTCCACTGCCCCCTCCTCCTCCTCTCGCCCCACCACCCCTTCCTCCCGCCCCACCACCCCTTCCTCCCGCCCCACCACCCCCTCCTCCCGTCCCACCACCCCTCCCCTGAGAACCTCTCTACCTTTCCTGCTAGGCACCTCCTCTCGCCCCACCACGCCTCCCATGCTAGGCTCTTCCTCCAGTGTCTCCTCTTCATCTCACCTGTCTAACCGCCCATCCGACGCCGTCACATGTGAGTGCCGCACGGGGCTGGGGTTGCGGAGAGACAGGCTCAGGAACGTGTGGATCGAGAGGGATGACGACGATGATGGGGAGTGGGACAGGGAGCGGGAGAGGGAGGGGGATGGGGAAGGGGATGGGAGGAGTCTGAGGGACGGGGCGGGGGGTGGGGCAACCCCGCCTAGGTCGAGGCGGAATTCGCTGAGTCGGAGCATTGGAGGGGCGCTGAGGGTGCTGCAGAGAGGAATGAGCGAGCAGGAGAGGGGGCGGCATAGCAGCTTGAGGGGCAGTAATTTGAGTATGAGTAGCGGGAGTGGGGCTGAGAGTTTTGGTGGGCGGGGGAGTTTGAGAGGTGGGCAAGGGAGTGGCCTTGGTGGTGGGGGAGGGGGAGGGGGAGTGGTTGGTGGTGGTGGTGGTGGCGATGGCAGTGGTGATGGCGGGAGTGGTGGTGGTGTTGGCAGCAGTGGCACTGGTGGTGGTACCAGTGGTAGTGGTGGTGCTGTTGGTGGTAAGGCTATTGATGCCGCTCCTGCTGCTGCAGTTGCTAGTGGTGCAGTAATTGCTGGTGGAGTTAGTGCAAGTGGTGCAGTAAGTGCTGCTGTTGCTGGCCCTAGTGGTGGTTCTGGTGGTCCGGCTGCTGGTGCAGGTGCCAGCGGTTTCCGTAGCAAAAGCGTTACCAGTGATGCTAGTGTAGTAAATGGGGGAAGGATTAGTGCAGGCGGTGCAGGGAGTGGTGGAGGTGGAAACTACGGTGTTGGAAGCACGAGCGGGGGAAGCACATCTAGTTCTGCAGGCAACAACATACATTATCATTCTGGTGGTGTTAGCGCTAGTGGGAACGCTGACAGTAGAATTCCGTTTGGATTCGAGCGGCCGTTGCCAGTGGTGAAGCGGCCGAGTAGCAGTGGAGGCAGGAGGCCAGTAAGTAGTGGTGGTAGAAATGGTGAAGCTTTGCCGAAATCTTCTGCTGGTGGCAGCGATGGCGACCAGCCGGCGGAGCTCCAGAGAGCGTCTACTAGAGGCTAGTTCACTCCACCATACTAATATTCAAGCTTTCACATATTGGTGTAGATTTGAGTTGCGGATGTGTTTTCGTTATTTATATTTGGGTTGTTTTACGACTGTAGGAGTTTCAGTTTCCACTCTTGTTACGAGCACTGCCATCTGATGGTCCCCTGTCTCTCAGATCACGTGGCAGCTTGGCAAACCGCACAGGCATCAGCGGAGAGGCAGTGTCGAATGACGTGGTGACGATTCAAGCCACGTCTTCCAGCACGCAAAAGGAATGTACTTATAGCGAGGGGGAACTTCAGTTCCCTCGTGAGACATTCATCTGCGCCTTCGAGAACCCCTCACCCAAGCGAGCGGGGATGCGAGCCCATTGGCGACAGTCGCCATCCTCGTTATCCATCTTGTCGTCAGCCTATCAAGTTGCGCATTCCCGTCACAAGCACGCCGGCCGTCAAGTCGAGGTGTTCCACCGTCAGCTCGGATATTCCGACTGCCAGGCATCAGGATTATCCGCTAGAAGTACGTCAGCAGGCAGCGCTGTTTGTACCTCGGGAACTCATGGTTCCAGGAACTAGGGAGAAGGGCTTGCAGCCAGAAACATGCTCCACAAACAACATGAACTCTTCACTTTTCAGGAGCAATTTTAGGAACTTTAGGAGCTCCAGTGAAATTAGAATCGGGAATCCGTCCAGCTTTGAAGCTCCACTAAGACGCTTGAGCTAAAGAGGAAAGTTTTTTTTTGTATCAACGGGCCTAGGCGGGTGTACGATAGAAGCCTAAGAGCTAAAGAGGTCCAGCGCTATTCGTACAGTATTTCCAGGAACAGTTATTTGTGTCTAGCCGAAGCGAGCTGTTTTGATATTTTTAATAGAGTGAGAGAAATAAAGCGTAGAACATTGCGGTGATTTTCCTTTTATTTCAGGAGTGCTTGTGTGCGAAGTACACAGACCTTACACGGTGTTTTTTCGTTAATACTATTTGATCGTCAGATTCCTTGGATAGTGTGGATAAGGGGCTCGTGGAAGGGTTGTTTGCTCATCTAATTCGACGATATTACGTATAGAAATTTAGACCCAGCTCCCGTTCAGCCGTCGTGTTTCGTCTAGATTCCTCCATCTGTTCTTGCAATTTCAGTGTGTATTCCCTGGCCGCACCGCAATGGCAGCTGCGATGATGAACCTTGCAGGTAACAAGGTGACATGAAATCAGAAATAGTTATCCAGTTTCAGCGTCTGACGTTTCCCCTATTTTCCAGTACACAAAGCTGTCCAACGGAAGACTTATTATCGTTTCTCGTCCACATGTTCTGATTCATCTTCGACATTCTTGCAGCAGAAATGGCGGTCAGACCTTCCGCACCAGCCGGTGCCGTGGTGGCTGCGTCTCGCTCAGGCTCCTCCGCTCGAGTAGCCACGCCAGCCTTACCACCTCTTAAGGTAGAAGATTACTCTGAAGTGTACCTCAGATTCACATAAGTATGGCCTCCCGTATCATTGAGAAGTTTCGTGTTGATGAAGAACAGCTTTCTCTCTTTTCGCCTCCACCACTCCCTCGGGCTCCACTGCTCGCTGCCACTTCGTCGCGCTTTCCCCAGCAACCGCTCGTTAGGTCACTCCTTCCCATCCCAAAGCTTCGTTGTGTACTTCCCGATTACATCTCACCAATCCTGGATTTTCTCCCATCTGTCCTCTCTCCTTGGCCTTCCAGCCTCAGAAACCACTGTCACATCGCCAAGCATCCGTTCAACAGAGTCCGGAACGCGTGCAGCTAGCTTCAATGCCAGAACAGGAACCTTCTGAGATGGGAGACATGGCGAGATGGCGTCTCGTGTTCAGCGCGCTTTTCCACGCCAATGGGTTGGCAGAGGAGGCGGTGGAGATCCCTAGGTCTGGTCACGCAGGGATCTTAGGTCAATCTGAGTCGGTGGAACTTCTTTGAGTTATGTTCCTGCTTACATCAAACTGTTTGTGTTCTTCCGCGTCCCGTTCATTAACGCGCCTTCCTCCCCGTTTCCCTTTATCCCTCTTCCAGCCTGCAGATCACGCATCATGTAAAAAATGCCAATCTGCTTCCTTTACGTGAGTGATGTGAAGCATATGCACTCAGTTGTCTTTGTTCTTTCATTCTCCATGTACAGTGTAGGAATTTCTTGCCGAATCTCTTCCTACAATCCCTCTCTTAGTGCGTGTCTGTCTCCTCCTGACAGTCATAACGAGTTATCTTACTCCCACTAATTTTTTCTTGATAATACACTGCATCCTTCCTGATATGTGTATTGCAGTTTCAATGACCGGAGAAGAGACAAGGGTGGATGCGGAACAAGTTAACAGCAGAAAGGTACGTGATTGGACAGGCTCAAGCCGTGCTGTCTGTTTTTTCGTTAGTTCTCCTACCTGCATTCACCCTTCATTCAGCTATTAATGGTGCCCCGTTCTTCATCATCTCTTCTTCTCCACTTTCGCTTTCTCTCTCCCTTGTTCTTCCTCCCTTGTTCTTCTTCCCTCCCCCACCTTCTCCCCTGCTGCACACGGTTCCCATGTCCCCCATGCAGTTCTCCCACCAGCATGTACTGGGAGTAGCCACTTCCGAGCCACCTGGTAGCACCCAGCTCAAGACAAACCTAGAGGTACTGTCACTCAATACCAGTCCAAAGAAGTTGCAAGGTTATGGCAGTCCTTTGAAATGTCTTCAATTACTCTCTCAGGCATGCGTGCTCTGTTTGTCCTGGGAAACTTCTCCTCCTTGAATGGATTATGGGCCTCCCATACTGTGCGTCAAGCTATCCGCTCCTCCGTATTTGTCCCTCTTTATGTGTTCGTGTGCGTCTTTGTGTCGTCGTGTGCATGTTGCATCTGCAGCCAAAGAAGGATAGTGAGCTGAGGGACGACTACTATGTGAACGTGGGGTACGCCATCAGAACGCTACGGGAGGAGCTGCCCACTCTCTTCTACCGGGACATGACGTACGACATCTACAGGTGTGTACGAGTAAAGGACTGTGCTGTGTTCGGTCTCTCCCCTCTTGTCCATTTGAGAATTCTCACCTTCCAATGAAATTAATACATACATAGGCGTTGACCAATAATTTGTTCTCGTGCCTCATATTTCAGTATCTCCGCTCCCATCCGTGCTGCCTATGTTCGTCCATCAGGGAGGACCAAATCTTTCAGAAACCAGTGAACACGGCATCGGCAGCCACCCCTTTATGCGCCCCAGTTATGTCTCTGTCTCCTCCATCTGTGCTTCCCTACCCTCACTTCGCCCATCAGAGAGGACATAACCTTCCAGGACCCGATGAACACGTTCAAGGGCGTGGACAACTACCGTCTGATCTTCAAAGCTTTGCGCTTCCACGGCAAGATCTTCTTCAAGGCGCTCTGTGTGGACGTGCTGCGCGTGTGGCAGCCCAACGAGCGCACCATCCAGATCCGCTGGTCCGTCCGCGGCATCCCCCGACTCCCCTGGGAGGCCCACGGCCGCTTCGACGGCACGTCGGAGTATAAACTCGACAGCTCTGGAAAGATCTACTCGCACAAGGTGGATAATATCGTGATGAGCGACCCGCCGAAGTATCAGCCGTTGACGGTGATGGAGCTGCTACGCTTGTCGGGAGCGCAGACCACCCCCACCATTTCGTGCTCGTGCAGAGTTTCCCAGTCGGTTTCTTCTCCAGTGTCTCCTTTGGAGGGGTCTGGCGGGCCGGGTTTGCCGTCATTTCAGCAGCTTTTGGCGGAAGGAGCGGTTTTTCTGGCCGTAGTTAGTAGGTTTACCTGGATCAGGTTTTACTGTGCGCTCAGTGGGACACTTGCGCTGCAGAAGAGGCGTGGGGGAGGTGAGGGCAAGGAGGAATTAGCTGCTTCGTCAGGTTAGGTTTCACGAATATGGGTTTTGGGTGGTGGTGGGATGATGGTTAAACTGTGTGGGTTTTGAATGTGTTGGTTGTATGTGTGGCGGCTGGAGGGTTGGATGTGATGGGTTTGATGTTATAAGTTTGAATGCATGGTGCTGAGAAGGCTGTTTTGGTATGTTGCTGTACAGGGAGCTTCGACATTGTAGCTCTTTTGGTGAGTGAAAGGTGGATATGTGCTGCCAGTACCTGAACAGTTCTAATGTGAACAATTCGTAATGCTTAGAAGGTGCTTGAGGTGAACAATGCGTAATATTACCAAGATGTTAAAGTACTACAATTCAACTATATTTCTCGGTTAACCATATTTGGAGCTGAACTCTTGTATCGAGAGTTGTAGGTCGTGATTTACAAGCCAATCAGCTGTGAGCAGTCGCGAGCATCTGGCTGCTCAAAGCACCAATGAGCATAGAGCCGAACACAAAGCTCAGCGCATTCAACGTGGTAAGGCTAGATAATGAGTTGGCGATACCCAAACTTCCTGGATTCTCGGCCCTATTGTCCACGCTGGCACACTGGGAATGTTGCAGTCCAAGTCTCCGCCAAACAATGCAAAAACCAGCTCCAACCGAACGGAACCGTAGACAATGGAACTGATCCCCACTTCCTCACCAATCTTCAGCTTTCTTGACTTCTGCCTTTCAGTCACTATCATAAAATCCATTCCCTAGATCTTCAAGGAATTTGTTTTCACATATCTGTGAGAACAGCTGCTGGTTGCCATTAGTGACCGCTGTCGCTGACCACCATTGCTGTCTTCCGATCTCCTTCCATTGCGCCCTCTCGCATTTGCCTTGCAGAGAAGCACGCAACGGTGTAGCATCGCCAGCCGAGGCGTATTATTTCCCGGTCGGTTCGTGACACCAAAATAATAACAATAGAAAGAAACAATAAAAAACCCACCGATTACTCCAGCGAGCTTGCTGCGCCTCTCCCCATCCATGGCTTCCGCGTCCGTTTCATTGCTCCGGCGAGCCGCCAGGCCGATCCTCACCGGTCTTTACGGAGGCGCACTCTCCGTCGCCGCGAGGCAGCACCTCACCAGCTCTTGCTCGTCCTCCGCCGCCGCCGCCGGCGCAGCTGCTGCAACTGGCGCAGCCGCCGCTGGGCTCCGCAATGCAATGGCGGGTTTCCACTCGTCTGCGTGTTCCGCGGCGGATTTGTCGCAATCTTCTGGACCGTCCGTGACGGAAGAGACCGTGTCGCTCGTTCAGGCGTCCGATAAAGGCATTGGACTCGCTTTTGTAAGCTGCTTAAACCGCGATTTCAATTAGACCATATGTTGATTCATTGGAACAATGTCGTTCCTAAGGGCGTCATATAATGAGGTCGAGCTCTCGCGTTTCGTAAGCACTTCATTCTCGAGTTCGAACTTCGCATTCTAGGTCATCTTCGTTGTCTTTATTGTTTTTCTTTCCTTTTCTTTCCTTGTAAACTTGTACTCCCAGCAACTCTGTGGTCATGTTCTTTAGCTCTCCCTTTCTTTCTACTCCAGTTGGTCGATTCTCTTCCTTTCCCAATTTGAAGTTTCCGATCCTCCTTCATCTTCTTTCGCGTTTCCACTCTCTTTTGTTTCCCTCTCACACTGTTCTACGTCCATCCTCTCCCCCTTGCTTTTCCTCCCCCACTGCCACGTGGACAGGTGGAGCAGCTGCTGAAGCGGCAGCCAACTGGCCGCGTCATTGCCACGTGTCGAGATCCGATGGGCGCTCAGCACCTGGACGCACTGCACGACCAGAGCGGTGGACGGCTGGATGTGATGCAACTGGATGTGACTAAAGAGGATACTATCGAGGTAAGGAAGGGCATCATGAGACGCGTGTGATGCAACTGGATGTGATTATAGATGAAACCAGCGGGGTACGGGCACGCTTGAAGAGTCACATTCAGCTTCTGAATCTGTTTATAACGAGGGTCTCAAGGTTTATGACAGTGCGAAACACAGACGACTACACAAGAGTGAAATGACGAATGATCAGACCACACAAGCGACCACTTAGCAGTCTTGGGGTTTTACACCTGAGAGTGTACGGCATAGTGTCATTCATGCCTCTTCCCAAAGTCAACCAGAGTTCTTCGTACCCACTGTCCTTCCTTCCCGCCCATTCTCTCGCGGCTCTCCCCTTTTTCTCTGTCGCTATCCTGCATCTCGTCCCTTTTCTCCCCTCTCTTTCCCGTCCCACCCTCCCCTGGCACTCCCTCCTCCCCACCCGCCAACACCTCCCCCCACACCCCTTTCTATCACATCAACCAGGTCGTTGCGACAGCAGCTCGTCAAAAGTACGGCAAGCTGGACCTACTGCTCAGCGTGGCATCTAATTCCCCTCCTCTTCCTTCCCTATCCCTTGCCGTCCCAAACCCCATCTCCCCTTCCCCCCCCCTTCCTCCCCCTGTTCTCCGCCTTTTTATCACATCTCCTAGGCTGTAGCAGCAGCAGTGCAGCGAAGTACGGCAAGCTGGACCTGCTTCTGAACGTCGCTCTCCCCTCCGCTCTTCTCTCCCTTCCCTCCCTGCTTCCTGCACCCCCCCCCGCCCCCCCCTCTCTTTCTCCCCCACCGCCCCAGGCTGTAGCAGCAGTAGTGCCGCAGAAGTTTTGCAAGCTAAACCTGCTACTCATTGTGGCATCCAATGCCCCTTTCTTCTCTTCCTTCCCCATCCCTTGCCGTCCCAAACCCCCTCCCCCCCCCTCCCCTCCCTCGCTACACCTGTCTATCACAATTTCCAGGCTGTAGCAGCGGCAGTGCGGCAGAAGTACGGCAAGCTAGACCTGCTGCTGAATGTGGCGGGTGTGCTGCACCGCCCCAACGAGCTACAGCCGGGTATGCTGCTACAGCCGGGTATGCTGCTACAGCCGGTATGCTGCTACAGCCGGTATGCTGCTACAGCCGGTATGCTGCTACAGCCGGGTGTGCTGGTACAGCCGGGTGTGCTGGTACAGCCGGGTGTGCTGCTAGAGCCGAATGCTGCTGCTAACAGCTGAGAGAGCTGCTACAGCTGGGTGCATACTTCCATAGAGCAAGATGAATGGTTTAGGGTTGGTACAGCCCGGATGGACGGTGCAGTGTGTTTGATGTATTCGTATCAAGGCCATGCTTTTAGATAGGCAGTGAGGCCAACCGGATTCACCTCTTCCCCTTCCCGCCTTCTTTCCCTTTCCCTCCCTCCTCCCCTGCACCCAGAGAGCAGCCTGCACTGGCTGTGCCAGGACGCCATGCTACTGGCATACCGAGTCAACGCCATGGGGCCCATGCTCGTGCTCAAGGTGAGTCAACGCCATGGGGAGTTCGAGGAGAGTCAACGAGGTGAGTCAAAAGCATGCTGGTCTCACAAATCAATGATAGTAAACGCCATAATGGTGGGTGGAGAGAGAGTGAGAAACTCAATTGCAGCAACGTGGTGTGATAGGGCCTGCCGGTAGGTCTCTGCCCCGCCGATTGAAATCTAAGAATTCTCAATTTTCATCCCGTCTTCCCTTCCTTCCTTCCCCTTTTCCCCTCTTCCTACCCTGCACTTGCATCTCTCAAGTCGCAGCACCATCATCATCGCCATCATTTCGTTCCATCTCTCCTACCTATCCCCCTCTCCTCTCCTCCTCTACAGCACATGATGCCGCTGCTGGTGACGGGAGGCCACACCAACCCCAACCGCCCCTTCTCCATAGTGGCCAACATGAGCTCTCGCACTGGATCCATTTCTGATAACCACATCGGCGGCTGGTACTCATATCGCGCCTCCAAAGCTGCTTTGAACCAGTGTGAGTTCATCGCTTCCTAACCTCGGTTGTGGCCAACATGAGCTCTCGCACCGGGTCCATTTCTGATAACCACATCGGTGGATGGTACTCCTACCGCGCCTCCAAAGCCGCTCTCAACCAGTGTGAGTTCATTGTCTTATGATGAATAACGTGTATCGGTGCAACCTCACTTGTGGCCAACATGAGCTCTCGCACCGGATCCATCTCCGATAACCACATCGGTGGATGGTACTCCTATTGCGCCTCCAAAGCTGCTCTGAATCAGTGTGAGTTTAATGTTGCTACGTAGCGGTGAGGGGGAACTACTGTCAGTCCTGTGCGGCTCCAGACCATAGAGGGCAACATGAGCTCTCGTACGAGGTCCATAGGAGATAACCAAATAGGGGCTGGTACTCTTACCGCTCATCCAAAGCTGCTCTCTACCAATGTGAGTGCAGTGCTGCCCCATGGTGGTGGCGAGTGGGAATTTTGAGACGTCTGAAAAGTGCTCCCTTGTGGTGGTGGCTGGCGAGTGGGAATCTGCTGGTAATGGGTGGCCACCTTTTGCCCTTGCCTCACTCTCTCTCCCTTTTCCCTTCCCTCCCTACCCCCCTCCTCTTCCTCCCAGTCACCAAGACGGCAGCAGTGGAGTTGGCCGCCCAGAAGAGCCCAGTGGTGGCTGTGCTGCTACACCCCGGCACTGTAGACACCGACCTTACCCGCCCGTTCACTTCGCACTTGCCGTCCGATAAGATCTTCACGCCTGATTTTGCCGCTGACCAGCTATTGGGTGTTATCGATGGGTTGAGTGAGAAGGACAACGGGCGGTTTATCGCATATGATGGCACTGACGTGGCGTGGTGATGTGATTGATAAGGTGTTTACAGTCAGGAACGATGTGCTTAGATGATTGTTAGCTATCTAGATGCGTCTCAAGCTATTAAAGGATGTGCTTACTGTATGCATACAGCATCTGAGTAGTGAATGGACAAATCTACAGTTGTTGGAAGGAAGAAATACATTTTGATCTGTAAACAACATTCTCGAAAAGGAATCTTGTAAATTTGTGTTGCAGTCGCACCATGTTGTATAGCGTACCCATCACTCGTATCCCTCCTCTTTGCACTACGCCAATTTACTCATTTGATTCCCCAAGCCTCCATTTTTCCACTCATTTGGCATTTTACGTTCAGTGCTTCCGCCTCTCGCGTCTTCCGCGGAACCGTAGCCCGCGTCAACCCCGTGCGCGCCCCCATGGCTGCGCTTGCCGCGCGAGCCGTCTCCGCCGCTGCGGCTGCTGCGTTCCCGGCGTTGCCGCCGTCCCATCGGCGCGCTTCGCAAGCAGCCAGAAGCACGTCGCTGCGGATAGGAGTGACGGGAAAGCGCGGCTGTAGCAATGGCGGCTGTAGCCGCGCGGGGAGGAGGGGTGGGGCTGTCGTTGCGCTGGCTGCTCCGCCTGAAGCCGTGACTGCGATTGTGGAGAGCGGAGCTGCCACGATGGTGGGAGAAACGTCTGCTGTGTCTCTCGCTCTCACCGCCCGCTCTCACCGCCCGCTCTCTCGCCCGCTCTCTCGTCCGCTCTCTTTCTCTCAGGCTTTCCTCCTTGCTTGCTCCAAGTTGAATGTCTCGACCCTCCCCTTTCCCGCCCAAACACGCACACGTGTTTGCATTCCTTCTCGTTCACTCCTTTCACTCCTCTTACCCTCCCCATTCCCTCCTTTCACCTATATTTCCTCTCTGCCCGTCTTCACCTTCATCCTCCTTCCCCTTCATTCCCAACCTCATCCCCCCCGCCACACCCACGCAATCTCCCCCTCCCCCCGTCTCGCCAGGTGTCAGCTGCTGATTGGACGAGCCACCTCGTGCTCGCCACGCTCAACGCAGCTGCCACGCTGGCATCGGACGGGCCAATAGAATTGCCCCCCGCATACCTGGAAGACCCCTGGGCTATTCCCGAGGTCTCTCCTCTCCAGTCATTCGCCAGTCTACTGTTAACGGGAACGATTGGTGTGCTGCTGTTTCGGGCTATCAAGAGACGAGCAAGCAAGGTCACTGAATCGGTGAGCAAGGGTTGAGGACGGTGGAGTGCGGTGAGTGCATTCCTTTCTGCGGTCGATCGTCAGTGTACTGTTGACCAGGACGATTGGTGTGCTGCTGTTTCGGTCATTAAAGCGACGAGCAAGCTCGGTCACTGAATCGGTGAGTTGAGGCTGGGAATTGGGTGCAGTGCAGTGCAGTGCAGTGTGGTTAAAAGAGAGGTTTAGTGAGTGAGGTTGGGTTGGGTGCATGCCCCTCCGCAGTCCTTGGCCAGTGTACTATTGACTGGGCAGAGCAGCCCGTGACCATCCAGTGGCATAGGAGTGGAGAGCAGAGGAAACACGTGCATTGCGAATTGCCTCTAGAACCTCCAAAACCGTACATACTTATTCTTGAAAGTTGACCCAGAGCCAAACAAGCTGCAAAAGCCTCACTCCTGCGTTACTGTGATCTTGTCCCCCTCCCAGCACTTCGGTTCGGACTCAGTTGAGAGCTGTCGTCCAATCCAGTGGTACAGGAGCACAGAGGAGAGGAAGCACGGTCCACAGTGAATCGCCTCTCGAACCTCCAAACCCATACAGTCTGCAAGATCCTCACTCCTGTGTGACTGTCTCTTTTCCCCCTCGCAGCGTTTCCGGTCGGATTCAGTTGAGAAGCTGTCGTCCAATCCGGTGGTAGAGGAGCGGAAGCGTCGGGCGGCAGCGGAAGCGGCAGAAGCAGCCAAGCGGGCGCCGCCCACGGTGCTGAACACGCTGGGCGGCGCACTGGTGGCGGGGTCGATTGCCATTGTGCTCTACAAGTTTGCAACTTCTGTCGACGATGTGTTTGCAGGGCAAACCCTTTCCACCACTTACACTGTGAGTGCTTTCCTTCACACCACATTCAAAGCAAGGTGATGTGTGAGTCGACTTGGAAAGGAAACGCTCCACGGTGCTGAACACGCTGGGCGGCGCACTGGTGGCGGGGTCGATTGCCATTGTGCTCTGCAAGTTTGCCACGTCCGTTGATGATGTGTTTGCCGGCCAGACCCTCTCCACTACTTACACTGTGAGTGCCTGTTTTCCTTTACAGGTCTACACCACACTGTAAGCAAGGTGATGTATGAGTCGACTAGGAAAGGAAGCGATTCACAGCGCTGAACACACTGGTGGCGGGGTCGATTGCCATTGTGCTCTGCAAGTTTGCCACGCCCGTTGATGATGTGTTTGCCGGGCAAACTCTGTCAACCACTTACACCGTGAGTGATGGTGCCCTGTTGCCAGGACTTACATCGGCATGTTACAGGTGACCATCAGGCAGTTCCCATGACCCACATGAGATGTGTTCAATGTTTGGTTGCCACAATCCACATGCTATAGTGCCCATGCATATTTCTCCTCATTTCCTCCCCTCCTCTCCCCTCTTTCTCCCCTTCAACACCCCCCTCCTTCCCTCTTTCATTTGTCGGCCCCCATTCTCTCCATGCCCCCCTCTCTACAGGTTCGGAACCTCTCCATTGCTGTCAGGTACACTCCATTATTGCTTTACCTTTTGTACCTAAGAATATTATTATTCGTCGATTCCCACAACCCACACCACTTGCTGTTTCCATTGCGATAACTCCCTTTTTTTTCCTCCCGCATCCCTTACGTAATCCCTGTTCCTTTCTTCTCTCTTCTCTCCCTTCGTCTTCCTTTTCATCCTTCATCCACCACAGGACCATTGTATCAGGCCTCGTATGGCTGGCCACATTCATCTGTGCTCTCAATTCCCTCGGCCTCACTCATTTTTTTATCACTGTTTCCTCCCCCTTTCTCCCTCACTCACTTTCTCCCTCCTCTTACCACAGGACCATAGTATCAGGCCTCGTATGGCTGGCCACATTCATCTTTGGTCTCAATTCCATCGGCCTCACTCTATATGCCTTTCAACTGGCGCTGGGTCTCGACTCTCCTAAAGACAGCCCCGTTAGTGGGAGTGGGAGTGAAGATACAGTGGGATCTAAAGACAGTGAGCCCAAGGCGACAGAGGTTCCAGTTGGGAGTGACGAGAAAAAGCCATTGGGTTTTGGAGGTTCTTCGAAGGAAAATGGGGGAGACGAGAAGAAATAGAGATGCGAGCAAAGTTGGGGCAACATTGTGTGTTGGCTATTGTTATTTTGCGTTCTTTTTGTCTTGCTGGAAATATAGCCATGTATGGTGCAGTGTTTCTTATAAGCATTTTGATAACCACAACAGCAATGTTAGTATTTTGTGTAATGTATAGCGCTCAATACCATCAGAAGGAAAACAGCAGCAGGCGCCTTCGGAATCGCCTTGTTTTCACCATTACCTGACCAGATAGTTCAAGGACAGAAAATGGCAAGAGGCTGACGAGCGAGACTGTCGCATCGCGCGAACCCATGGGCCATGGCGGTTCAGTGTCAAACCCCGTGCAACCTCGGCGTATTGCACTCGCAGGAACTTGAGAATCGTCGCAGTAGCGACGCCACTACGACTGAATCTCGTCCGATATCTAGGCGCCTTTAGCGGCGAGGGGACGTAGCGTCGATTCCTGACTCAGATCGGGTCCTGCTCAGAGAAAGGCAATAGTTCAGGCGATTCTTGAGACGTTTCATCACGCAATGTCTAAGGCGATTCGACAATGGGGCCGCAGAAAGGCGAAATGGGGAGCATACGTTCTAACGGCGGCGCTCCTCGTTGTGTGCCTCCTCGCCGTCTCGTACGCGACTCAAGGTGCGTCGACACAAGGCCAAGGATTCCGAAGTGCAATTCCTCCGCTCTCCCTCTCTCCCATTCATCCTTCCCCTCTCTCCCTCCCATCCGTTTTCCCTCCAGTTCAAGCGCAATCCGAATCAGTGCCACCAGCGGTAGTATCTCCACGAGCGGTATCAGCGCCATTGGCGCCAGCAGCAGCAGAACCAGCCGATCCAGCATCAGCCAATCAGGCCGCCGCCGTTCCGCCAGCACATCAGACGACCGTCCAGATAGCCGGCCAGCCGGCAGTTCAATCGACGGACGAGGTGCTTCTGGGCCGAGTGGCGGAGATAGCGGCAGAGCTCAGCCGTCAGATGCAGGAGGAGCAGGCGCTGCAGCAGTCCCAGGGAGCCATGCTTGAGTCGAGTCAACAAGAGCAGGCATTACAGCAGTCCCCAGTAGCTATGCTCCAGGAGCAGACGCAACCACTTCCGCACTCCCCTCCTTTCTCTCCTCCTCTCGTCTTCCCACTGCAATCGCCACCCTTCCCTCCTCCCGTCCCCCCTCCAACCGTCCCCCTTCCAGCCGTCCCTTCGCCTCCCATCCCCCCTCCACCGCCCCGCCGTCCCACGTCGCTCCTCCCACCTCCTTCTCAAGGCGAAGCAGGGGGTTTAGGAAGCACGGCAGGAGCGGACGAGGTGCTTATAGGGAGAGTGGCCGCGATAGAGGAACAGCTGATGCTGCAGCTTGCAGGGGCTAGTGAAGAGGAGGGGAAGAGGGAACCTGGAGGAGAGGAATTCGGAAAGGGCAAGGTTCAGGAGAGAGAGACTAGTCCCCACTTACCTGCCACTCCAACCCCCTCACACCCACCACCCCCTTCTCCTCCTCCCTCACACCCTCCACCCCCCTCGCCTCCTCCCCTGGACCCCCTCTTTACAGTCACATCCCTTAACCGAACCATTCGCAGGGTAGATCTCAACAAGACCTTTCTAGAGTATCACCACCATTTCCGGGAAGGAGAGCTCAAGCTACAGTGCCCCGGCGAGCCTTGCCCGAACCTAGGATCCTGCGGTCCGGAGTTCCCGAACCTGCGCGCCTGCTACTGGCCGAACCTGGTCGACGCGGAGTACCTGTTCCCGGACCAGCCTATAAACTGCCCGAAAGTGATGGATATGAGTGTGGAAGGAGGAAGGGAGGTGTCGGATACGAGGTGTACCCATAAGGGGGATGACTTGCGGCTGGACATGTTTCTGCCGCAGTATTACGAGCTGCGGGACGTGTATCTAGATGGGGATGGCTTGGTGTTTAACGATTCGGTGTTCTTTGATCGGCACAGCTGCGCTGACAAGGGGAATGTGAGTGAATGGGGGGAGAGGGAGATCAGGAGGAATGTGAGTGAACGAGAGTTCTTGATAATTCTCAGGGTGTTTTGGGGATGACTTGCGGCTGGACATGTTTCTGCCTCAGTACTACGAGTTGGGAGACGTGTATTTGGATGGGGCTGGCCTGGTGTTTAACCAGACTGTTTTCTTTGATCGACACAGCTGCGCTGACAAAGGAAATGTGAGTGAATGGGCGCTTCTGAGAAACCTCAGGGTGGTTTTGGGATGACTTGCGGCTGGACATGTTTCTGCCGCAGTATTATGAGCTGCGAGACGTGTACTTGGATGGGGATGGCCTGGTGTTCAATGAGTCGGTGTTCTTTGACCGGCACAGCTGTGCTGACAAGGGGAATGTGAGTGCATGGGCGCTTCTGAGAATTTCCAGGGTGGTTTTGGGGATAGCTTGCGGCTGGATATGTTTTTTTCCCAGTGTTACGAGTTGCAGGTCGTCTACCTGGATGGGGATGGGTGGGGATGGCCTTGTGTTTCACAGAACGGTGTTCTTTGATTGGCCTTCCCTTCCCATCCCCCCTTGTGTCCCGCTCTCTGTGCAGTTCTCCTTCGAGCCAGGCAAGGCCAGAGTGCGTCACTACAATCGCCTCGTATCGCTCATGTACCCGCTGGGCATCGCCTCGTATCATGTGCTCATAGAGGCTGGCAGTGTCTTCAACCTGCCCACTCTGTTCTGTTTCCCTTGTGACGACTTTTGAGGCGCCTCAAAAGTCTTCCCACTCTGTTCTGTTCCCCTTGTCCCCTCCTGGGCAGGTCTCCTTTGAACCCGAAAAGGCAAAAGTCCGTCACTATGACCGGCTGGTGTCGCTCATGTACCCCCTGGGCATCGCATTCTATCACGTGCTCTTAGAGCTCGTGAGGTGACATGAGCTCAGCACCTTCCCCTCTCTCCCTCCTCTCATGTACCCTCTCCCCTCTCTGCCTCTCCCACCTGTCACCAGTTCTCCTTCGAGCCAGGGAAGGCCAGAGTGCGTCACTACGACCGTCTGGTGTCCCTCATGTACCCGCTCGGCATCGCATTCTACCACGTGGCCTCATAGAGCGGGTGCGGCCTCTCAACAACCCTCCGTCACCCCCCCTGTGCCCCTCGTTGTCTCGGCAGTTCTCCTTTTCGCCAGGGAAGGCCAAGGTCCATCATTACGACCGCCTGGTGTCACTCATGTACCCTCTGGGCATCGCATTCTACCACGTGCTCATAGAGCTCGTGAGGAATCTCAACCCTGTGTCCCCCCCTTGTGTCCCCCTCTGTCTCCCCCTGTGTCTCTGTCTGGGCAGTTCTCCTTCGAGCCAGGCAAGGCCAAGGTCCATCACTACGACCGCCTGGTCTCTCTCATGTACCCCCTGGGCATCGCATTCTACCACGTGCTCATAGAGCTCGTGCCGCACCTCTTCGTGCTCTCCCCTCTGCTGCGCGACAACCCCTCCATCCCCATCGCCATCGCCTCGCACCAGGTAACACTGGCATCTAAGACATGGTGAGAGTTACAGAGAGAAGTTCCAAGCAAGGAAAATGTCATTCCAAGCTACCCCCCTTCCCAAGTCCACCAGGTAACACTGGCATCTAAGACTTGGGTGAGAGTCATCCCCCTTCCCATCCCTATTGCCATCACCCTCCATCCGCATTGCCTCACCTCTTCGTGTTCACCCCGCTACTCCGCGACAACCCCTCCATCCCCATTGCCATCGCCTCGCACCAGGTGTGCTTTGCACCAACGGCCATCGCCTTGCACCAGGTATCACTGGTGTTTAGAAGTTGGTGAAACTTATCCGAATCTTCTTTGCCTCACCTCTTCGTGTTCTCCCCACTGCTCCAAGACAACCCCTCCATTCCCATCGCCATCGCCTCACACCAGGTATACTAGATTCTTTAAACTGGTTCATACCATCCCCTTTCCCATCGCCATCGCCATCACATCCCCATGAAGTCTCGTATGAGCGTGCGGTGCAGCGTATGAGCGGGCAGAGCAGCGTATGAGCGGGCGGTGCAGCGTATAAGCGAGCGGTGCAGCGTATGAGTGGGCGGTCCAACTTATGAGCGGGCGGTGCAGCGTATGAGCGGGCGGTGCAGCGTATGAGCGGGCAGAGCAGCGTATGAGCGGGCAGTGCAGCGTATGAGCGAGCGGTGCAGCGTATGAGTGGGCGGTCCAGCTTATGAGCGGGCTGTGCAGCGTATGAGCGGGCGGTGCAGCGTATGTGCTGGCAGCGCAGCGTATGAGCGGGCGGTGCAGCGTACGAGCAGGCGGTGCAGCGTATGAGCGGGCGGTGCAGCGTACGAGCAGGCGGTGCAGCGTATGAGCGGGCGGTGCAGCGTACGAGCGGGCGGTGCAGCGTATGTGCGGGCGGTGCAGCGTATGAGAGGGCGGTGCAGCGTACGAGCGGGCAGTGCAGCGTATGAGCGGTGCGGTGCAGCGTATGAGCGGGCGGTCCAGCGTATGAGCGGGCGGAGCAGCGTATGAGCGGGCGGTGCAGCGTATGAGCGGGGGGTGCAGCGTATGAGCGGGCGGTGCAGCGTATGAGCGGGCGGTGCAGCGTACGAGCGGGCGGTGCAGCAAGCGGGCGGTAAAGCGTATGAGCGGGCGGTGCAGCGTACGAGCGGGCGGTGCAGCGTACGAGAGGGCGGTGCAGCGTACGAGCGGGCGGTGCAGCGTATGAGCGGGCGGTCCAGCGTATGAGCGGGCAGAGCAGTGTATGAGCGGGCGGTGCAGCGTATGAGCGAGCGGTGCAGCGTATGAGTGGGCTGTCCAGCTTATGAGCGGGCGGTGCAGCGTATGAGCGGGCGGTGCAGCATATGTGCTGGCAGTGCAGCGTATGAGCGGGCGGTGCAGCGTACGAGCGGGTGGTGCAGCGTATGAGTGGGCGGTGCAGCGTACGAGCAGGCGGTGCAGCGTATGAGCGGGCGGTGCAGCGTACGAGCGGGCAGTGCAGCGTATGTGCGGGCGGTGCAGCGTATGAGAGGGCGGTGCAGCGTACGAGCGGGCGGTGCAGCGTATGAGCGGTGCGGTGCAGCGTATGAGCGGGCGGTCCAGCGTATAAGCGGGCGGAGCAGCGTCTGAGCGGGCGGTGCAGCGTATGAGCGGGGGGTGCAGCGTATGAGCGGGCGGTGCAGCGTATGAGCGGGCGGTGCAGCGTATGAGTGGGCGGTCCAGCTTATGAGCGGGCGGTGCAGCGTATGTGCGGGCGGTGCAGCGTATGAGCGGGCGGTGCAGCGTACGAGCGGGCAGTGCAGCGTATGAGCGGGCGGTGCAGCGTACGAGCGGGCGGTGCAGCGAGCGGGCGGTAAAGCGTATGAGCGGGCGGTGCAGCGTACGAGAGGGCGGTGCAGCGTACGAGCGGGCGGTGCAGCATATGTGCGGGCGGTGCAGCGTACGAGCGGGCGGTGCAGCGTATGAGCGGGCGGTGCAGCGTATGAGCGGTGCGGTGCAGCGTATGAGGGTGCGGTGCATTGTATGAGCGGGCGGTGCAGCGTATGAGCGGGCGGTGCAGCGTACGAGCGGGCGGTGCAGTGTATGAGCGGGCAGAGCAGCGTATGAGCGGGCGGTGCAGCGTATGAGGGAGCGGTGCAGCGTATGAGTGGGCGGTCCAGCTTATGAGCGGGCGGTGCAGCGTATGAGCGGGCGGTGCAGCGTATGTGCTGGCGGTGCAACGTATGAGCGGGCGGTGCAGCGTACGAGCGGGCAGTGCAGCGTATGAGCGGGCGGTGCAGCGTACGAGCGGGCGGTGCAGCGTATGAGCGGGCGGTGCAGCGTACGAGCAGGCGGTGCAGCATATGAGTGGGCGGTGCAGCATACGAGCGGGCGGTGCAGCGTATGTGCGGGCGGTGCAGCGTATGAGAGGGTGGTGCAGCGTACGAGCGGGCGGTGCAGCGTATGAGCGGTGCGGTGCAGCGTATGAGCGGGCGGTCCAGCGTATGAGCGGGCGGTGCAGCGTATGAGCGGGCGGTGCAGCGTATGAGCGGGCGGTGCAGCGTATGTGCGGGCGGTGCAGCGTATGAGCGGGCGGTGCAGCGTACGAGCGGGCCGTGCAGCGTATGAGCGGGCGGTGCAGCGTACGAGCGGGCGGTGCAGCGTACGAGAGGGCGGTGCAGCGTACGAGCGGGCGGTGCAGCGTATGTGCGGGCGGTGCAGCGTATGAAAGGGCGGTGCAGCGTACGAGCGGGCGGTGCAGCGTATGAGCGGTGCGGTGCAGCGTATGAGGGTGCGGTGCATTGTATGAGCGGGCGGTGCAGCGTATGAGCGGGCGGTGCAGCGTACGAGCGGGCGGTGCAGCGTATGAGCGGGCGGTGCAGCGTATGAGCGGGCGGTGCAGCGTACGAGCGTGCGGTGCAGCACGGTGCAGCGTATGAGGGTGCGGTGCATTGTATGAGCGGGCGGTCAAGCGTATGAGCGGGCGGAGCAGCGTATGAGCGGGCGGTGCAGCGTATGAGCGGGCGGTCAAGCGTATGAGCGGGCGGTGCAGCGTACGAGCGTGCGGTGCAGCGTATGAGTGGGCGGTGCAGCGTATGAGCGGGCGGTGCAGCGTATGAGCGGGCGGTGCAGCGTATGAGCGGGCGGTGCAGCGTATGAGCGGGCGGTGCAGCGTATTTGCTGGCAGTGCAGCGTATGAGCGGGCGGTGCAGCGTACGAGCGGGCGGTGCAGCGTATGAGTGGGCGGTGCAGCGTACGAGCAGGCGGTGCAGCGTATGAGCGGGCGGTGCAGCGTACGAGCGGGCGGTGCAGCGTATGTGCGGGCGGTGCAGCGTATGAGAGGGCGGTGCAGCGTACGAGCGGGCGGTGCAGCGTATGAGTGGTGCGGTGCATTGTATGAGCGGGCGGTCCAGCGTATGAGCGGGCGGAGCAGCGTATGAGCGGGCGGTGCAGCGTATGAGCGGGGGGTGCAGCGTATGAGCGGGCGGTGCAGCGTATGAGCGGGCGGTGCAGTGTATGAGTGGGCGGTCCAGCTTATGAGCGGGCGGTGCAGCGTATGTGCGGGCGGTGCAGCGTATGAGCGGGCGGTGCAGCGTACGAGCGGGCAGTGCAGCGTATGAGCGGGCGGTGCAGCGTACGAGCGGGCGGTGCAGCGAGCGGGCGGTAAAGCGTATGAGCGGGCGGTGCAGCGTACGAGAGGGCGGTGCAGCGTACGAGCGGGCGGTGCAGCGTATGTGCGGGCGTTGCAGCGTATGAAAGGGCGGTGCAGCGTACGAGCGGGCGGTGCAGCGTATGAGCGGGCGGTGCAGCGTATGAGCGGTGCGGTGCAGCGTATGAGGGTGCGGTGCATTGTATGAGCGGGCGGTGCAGCGTATGAGCGGGCGGTGCAGCGTACGAGCGGGCGGTGCAGCGTATGAGCGGGCAGAGCAGCGTATGAGCGGGCGGTGCAGCGTATGAGCGAGCGGTGCAGCGTATGAGTGGGCGGTCCAGCTTATGAGCGGGCGGTGCAGCGTATGAGCGGGCGGTGCAGCGTATGTGCTGGCAGTGCAGCGTATGAGCGGGCGGTGCAGCGTACGAGCGGGCGGTGCAGCGAGCGGGCGGTAAAGCGTATGAGCGGGCGGTGCAGCGTACGAGCGGGCGGTGCAGCGTACGAGAGGGCGGTGCAGCGTACGAGCGGGCGGTGCAGCGTACGAGCGGGCGGTGCAGCGTATGTGCGGGCGGTGCAGCGTATGAAAGGGCGGTGCAGCGTACGAGCGGGCGGTGCAGCGTATGAGCGGGCGGTGCAGCGTATGAGCGGTGCGGTGCAGCGTATGAGGGTGCGGTGCATTGTATGAGCGGGCGGTGCAGCGTATGAGCGGGCGGTGCAGCGTACGAGCGGGCGGTGCAGCGTACGAGCGGGCGGTGCAGCGTATGAGCGGGCGGTGCAGCGTACGAGCGTGCGGTGCAGCATGGTGCAGCGTATGAGGGTGCGGTGCATTGTATGAGCGGGCGGTCAAGCGTATGAGCGGGCGGAGCAGCGTATGAGCGGGCGGTGCAGCGTATGAGCGGGCGGTGCAGCGTATGAGCGGGCGGTGCAGCGTACGAGCGTGCGGTGCAGCGTATGAGTGGGCGGTGCAGCGTATGAGCGGGCGGTGCAGCGTATGAGCGGGCGGTGCAGCGTATGAGCGGGCGGTGCAGCGTATGAGCGGGCGGTGCAGCGTATGAGCGGGCGGTGCAGCGTATGTGCTGGCAGTGCAGCGTATGAGCGGGCGGTGCAGCGTACGAGCGGGCGGTGCAGCGTATGAGTGGGCGGTGCAGCGTACGAGCAGGCGGTGCAGCGTATGAGCGGGCGGTGCAGCGTACGAGCGGGCGGTGCAGCGTATGTGAGGGCGGTGCAGCGTATGAGAGGGCGGTGCAGCGTACGAGCGGGCGGTGCAGCGTATGAGCGGTGCGGTGCAGCGTATGAGCGGGCGGTCCAGCGTATGAGCGGGCGGTGCAGCGTATGAGTGGGCGGTGCAGCGTATGAGCGGGGGGTGCAGCGTATGAGCGGGCTGTGCAGCGTATGAGCGGGCGGTGCAGTGTATGAGTGGGCGGTCCAGCTTATGAGCGGGCGGTGCAGCGTATGTGCGGGCGGTGCAGCGTATGAGCGGGCGGTGCAGCGTACGAGCGGGCAGTGCAGCGTATGAGCGGGCGGTGCAGCGTACGAGCAGGCGGTGCAGCGAGCGGGCGGTAAAGCGTATGAGCGGGCGGTGCAGCGTACGAGAGGGCGGTGCAGCGTACGAGCGGGCGGTGCAGCGTATGTGCGGGCGGTGCAGCGTATGAAAGGGCGGTGCAGCGTACGAGCGGGCGGT